AATATCCCGCCAAACCCCTCACACCAGTTTTTTTTTTTTTTTTTTTTTTTTTTTGCACTCATCACCCCCACCCAGCATCACCATCTTTTGCTAGTCCACGGAGATTGGTTATCAGCAGCTGACGAGCACCAAACCAGGGGATGATAGCAAGAGCAGGACAATGGATGTCACAAGATGGGGGCAGGACCACAGTCAGTGTTCCTTGGCTGGTAGTAGCAAGTGGACATTCAAGTCCCCAAGCAAGCTGACTGGGTGGGTTTGGAGCCAGGAGGTGCAGTTTGGTCAGTCTCCAGTGAGCTGATTAGAGTCTCTACAGGGAGGTGGAGGGAAGCTTTTTGACACGTCTCTGGGCTAGGAAGGAGCTCTCGATGGGCTTGAGCTCTGGTGTGGGTTGGGAGTTCTTCAGGGCAGAGTAGGTGGCCGCCATTGCACCCTGAATGTAAACAGCAGCATGGTGATTGTAGCTGAAATAAATACTTTAACTACAAAAAAATGTCGGCATGAAAAGAACAATCACATTCAAATGCTTTATTTTACAATGGGGTAAAAGTTTTCTTTGTGCGATGTGCCTACAACACTGGTAAATACATTTTTTCCCAATGTGCATCACTATAAAAATCCATCTTAAACACTTTCATACAGAGTTTTGTAAGAAAGAAACTAATGCAGGTGACAAATATGGTGAAAGAACACTCAGCTCTGTTACCTTGACCAGTTTGGGATCCTGGTGTGGGAGCTGACTGTTGGGGAGTTTGTCTCTCTGGACAATCCAGGGGTGCCTGAGGACCTGCTTAGCAGTCAGTCTCTGATGGGGGTCCACATGAAGCATCTTGGACACAAGGTCCTAAAGGGAATGCATTAAAATCAGCATGAGACTGGAGATGTCTCTGAGGAGCAGTTAGATGAACTTAGAGCTCTACCTTGGCAGCATCTGACACGGTGTCCCAGTTGCCTCCAGTCAGGCTGAAGTGACCGTTGCCTATCCTGTTCAAGATCTCATTGGGGGTGTCCTCAGGTCCATTGGCAAATGGTGTAAAACTGGTGGGTGCAAAGTAGGCAGATGGGTGAATGAGTGAGCATGAAAGGCAAAATCTGACTGAGAAGAGAGTTTGAGTGTTGCTACTCACCCAGCCAGCATGGTGTACAGTAAGACTCCCAGACTCCAGATGTCACATCCTTCATCATAGCCCTGACGCTTCAGCACCTATAATGTAGTCAGAGACAGTCCCAAATTTTATTTCAGTGTCCCTGTTTCAATTCAGCATCATTTAAGGCACTTCTAGTGGACAGGTAATTATCACTTTTCTTTTGGGGGCCATTTGTCATTTTACAGAAATCTATAAGTAGTAGTGAGGCAGTGCACATTGCAGGGTACACCGTTTTGGACGAGTGGCTTTGGAGAGAGTTCAGAATGAAAGGCTGGGATTTTTTTGTTTGTCTGCTTCAAAATCAAGCTTCTTCTTGCTGGTTTTCCCAAGATTGCCAACCCTACCTTTAAGCTAGAGCCAGTCTTGAGTCCTATGACACTGACTCTGCAGAGTCTGACAGAAACTTGTCATTGCTGTTCAGACACATTCTGGCAACAGGGTTTAGGATCGTTGGCGGTACCTTTGACGGACTGCTGTTTCCTGCGGTAAACCATACTCATTTCCTGTTTTCTGTATTTGCACTGCGCTGTGCTTGCTTCCAGATTGTTTAGGAATTAAACTCACTATTTTCTAGGTTCATCTGAATTTTTGAGTGACAACATAC